AGTCTGCTGACCTCAGAGGGCTCATGGGGGAGGACCAGTGATAGATAATAGGAAAGGCTATGCTCCAATCGGAATGTACATCCTGTGTATAGGCACTCCCCATGCATTGTTCTGTGGGAGGGGATTGACCTTATTCATGTGGGGGGGCGTGTGTCTGCTTGTAAATAAAAATCAGAGGCTGGAGTTGGACCCGCCTCTTGGTGCATTCAAACAGCAACCTGAGAGTGTCGTGTGATCATTCTTGGGTAACGGAGCTCCATTCCCCACATCTCAACAGAGCTAAAGCAGTTGGAGGGGCAGGAATCTTGGGGCTAAGCTGCAGTCGTGGTAAGCGAGATTCGCACAGCTTTTTGGGGGATTTCTGTGCATCCAACTGCGAGTACTCACGGTAAGGAGAAATTCGTTAAAGCGAATTTCCAAGACAAAGGTGAGAGGCTTTAGCAGAGGCTGATCTGTGTCAGAGATTTGTGAACACAGGCAAGAACTGCTGAGGTATGGTGGGTGGGAGTATTACTGTGATTTCCGTTCTAAATACCTGGAAGTAGTATACTGAAATGGAACTAAACTCTCTCAATCAACATTAAAAATTGTAATCCTTATGCTGCTAGCATTAGTAAATAGCTAGGAAGATATAATTACTGTTTGTTTTTCTTTATCCACTTGAAGATCAAGATTTTCTGGCACTTTTTGTTTACATGTAACAATCAGTATATTTTGTTAGAACATTTCTCAGAACCCCCAAACATTAAATACCGTATTTGCCGGCGTATAAGACGACCCCCTACTTTTCCTGCTAAAATGTAGTGTTTGGACTATACTCGCCATATAAGACTACCCCTCTTCCAATGCACACCAGTGGGAGGAATAATGCCCCATCATCGGTGTCAGTGGGAGGAATAGTGCTCCATCATTGGTGTCAGTGGGAGGAATAGTGCCCCATCATTGGTATCAGTGGGAGGAATAGTGCCCCATCATTGGTGTCAGTGGGAGGAATAGTGCCCCATCATTTGTGTCAGTGGGGGGAATAGGTGCCCCATCATTGGTATCAGTGGGCAAGGATTAGTTTGCCCCGATAACATCATTGGTCGTCAGGTGGGAGGAAGTATAGTGCCACCCCCTTCATTGGTATCAGTGGGAGAAGTGGCAGGAATAGTGCCCCATCATTGGTGTCAGTGGGAGGAATAGTGCCCCATCATTGGTATCAGTGGGAGGAATAGTGCCCCATCATTGGTATCAGTGGGAGGAATAGTGCCCCATCATTGGTGTCAGTGGGAGGAATAGTGCTCCATCATTGGTATCAGTGGGAGGAATAGTGCCCCATCATTAGTATCAGTGGGGGGAATAGTGCCCCATCATTGGTGTCAGTGGGAGGAATAGTGTCCCAACATTGGTGTCATTGGGAGGAATGGTGTCCCAACATTGGTGTCAGTGGGGGGTGGAATAGTGCCCCATCATTGGTGTCAGTGGGGGGTGGAATAGTGCCCCATCATTGGTGTCAGTGGGGGAATAGTGCCCCATCGATGTCAGTGGGGGAATAGTGCCCCATCGGTGTCAGTGGGGGGGAGGAATAGTGCCCCATCGTTGATGTCAGTGGGAGGAATAGTGCACCATCATTGGTGTCAGTGGGAGGAATAGGAATAGTGCCCCATCATTGGTGTCAGTGGGAGGAATAGTGCCCCATCATTGGTGTCAGTGGGAGGAATAGTGCTCCATCATTGGTATCAGTGACACCAATGATGGGGCACTATTCCTCCCACTGACACCAATGAGACTTGCTGACCCTGTTCTAGTATGGTGCTGCTGCAGCCAGCATATGTGGTTGCAGCAGCACCTCTACAATGAACACTTACCTGCTGCTCCTGCACTCGATTTTCGTGGGGCCGCTTGGCTCCGCCCCCTCGCCGGTGATTGGCCGCCTGTGTGCCTTTCCTGAGCTACAGTTCTGGCAGCCAATCACCGGTGAGGAGGCGGAGCCGAGCAGCCGCACGAACATCCAGTGGCCGAACTGAAGGAGCAGCTGCGCTTCCTGGACCGGATCGTCGTGGGACCGAAGCCAGGTAAGAAACAGCCCCTGCCCACCCCTGTACTTAGTGTCCCTTCTGTTAGAAGGGGGGGGCGGCAGCGGCACCGCGCCGCCCCCCAAACAGTGTCAGTATGCTGTATACCGGCGTATAAGACGACCCCCGACTTTTGAGAAGATTTTCAAGGGGTAAAAAGTCGTCTTATACGCCGGCAAATACGGTAGATATTTTTTATAGCAGAGGTCCTACAGAATAAACTGGTGGGTGTTGCAATTATTTTATGCCACATGGTATTTGCGCAGTGGTTCTTCAAACTTTTTTTGGGGGGAAAAAATACACTTTTTTGAATCTTAATTTAAATAAAACCCAATTTTTTGGCACATTATAAAAGATGATGCTACGCCGAATAAATAGATACCAAACATGTCACGCTTTAAAAATGCGCAGACCTGTTCAATGGTGACAACCTATGTAAATTTTTACGATCCATAGGTCAAGCTTTAAAAGCCTTTACAGGTAACCAGTTTAGATTTACAGAGGAGATCTGGTGGTAGAATTACTGCCCTTGATCTGACGCTCGTGGTGATACCTCATGTGTGGGAAGATCGCTGCTTGCATGCATGCGGGACTGATGTGTGGGTTCACCTTTGCGCCCTAGCACAGGGAGATGGGGACACTAAATTTTTTTTTTTCATAATCATTGCTGTCACAAGGAATGTAAATGTTCCTTTTGACAGCAATAGGCATTGACAGGTACTCTTTATCTAGAGATCTGGGGTCAATACAATCCCTCCTCTGCCCTTAGAGCGGTAGTGAACCATGAAAAAAAAATAAATCTGCAGATTTAAGTCATAATGTACTAGTATACAACGCATACTAGGACATTATGACAGACCTATCTGGGCAGTCCTCCAGTGCAGCACTGTCATGACTCCCGGGGTGCATCCGACTTTACCCGGTCTTCCTTCCGGGTTCACAGACTGTGGCTGTGTGAATGGCCAGGGCCACGATGACGTCACTCCTGAGTATGTGTGCGGGAGCCCCAGCACAGAGCTTTGAAGGCACGGCACGGGTATGCTGTGCCTTCAGAGCGCATGCAAGTTAGGAGACATTCACTGTACCAACAGGTAAGCCTTATTATAAGTTTACCTGTAGATACAAGTTAAAAAGTGAACTTTACTTCCACTTTAAAAGCATTTGATCACACCAAGATAGGTGTAATCAAATGCTTTTCATTTTTAAAAAATGGCGCAGTTTACATCTGGGTAAACCAGATGTGAAGTAAGTTCATTGCCCTTGGTTCCCTATATCATAGAGGTGGACAGAGTGGTTCCAGTCTTTGTCTGCCTCTATGATCAGCCAGCTGGTTGGCCGGGTGTCCCAGTGAGATGGAACAACCTGTTAAAGTCGCAGAAAGTGGGGTGTCTCCTCCTGCTGCTTGTAAGTGATCCAGCGGCTAGTTAGCTGCTAGGAGTGCTGTTACAGGAGAGTTGGCTCTAAAATACGCTACCGGGATGATGCCTGCAGCTGTGGGCACCATCCTGATATAACCACTTGAAGCATAGTGACGTACAAGTATGTCGCTGGTTGTCAAGTGGTTAATCTAAAGGGAAGAGGGGCTCTCTCAGCTAAGCACACCGTCCTGCTTGCCTGCCTGAGCTAAGGGTAGATGGATTTAAGGGAGTAAATTCTACATAACCATCTGATGCTAGGTCCACTTTAAGTATTTTACACCGCCCCAAATTCGTTTGAAAACTTTAATATCAGCCTTATTGGCTACTTGTTGACAGCAACTTTGAATCTGGAGGGAGAAGAAGGGGGGGGGGGGGGCTCTCTAAAGTACTTGACCATCACAGCACAGAGAAGTTACCTTCTTCCCCCAAGCTACAGTGCCTGACAATAGGCTGTGTTTACCACTTGTGGACCAGTGCCTAGTCTAGCAGGGTTAGAGGGAGCAGCACCAAGCCCAAAAATTTACAAACTCTAAAAACGTTGTTTCCCTCTTCTGGCAACCTCTACTCCAGCCTTTCTCAATCTTTTCAGCCCAGAGGAGCCACAACAACTTTCCGATCTCAGGGAACCTTTGTTAAAAATACTATATCTACAACACATGATACATTAGTGTGAAGGTCAGTGGGAAAAATGTTCCTTTAACTTGTGGTCATTGGGAAGAATTACCCCCTTACAGATAGCTAAAACGATCAATGGTGTCAGTGGGAACTTATCTGAGAGACAGAAATTCCCCAAGGAACCCCTTTCAAACTCTGCAGGAACATTAGGGTTCCATGGAACCCTGGTTGTAAAACCATGGTCTACACATTTGTTTTCTAAATTTAGCAAGACTCTTCTTAGCATGGGAATCATAAAGCCATCACTTTGGCCATTTGCTTTTGAAAAGTAGTTCAACAATTGCAGAAGAGGAGAGATATGGTCAGCTCTCTGGTTACTTTGATGTGGGACTTCACACAGATTAGACCTGTAGGGGCTGGAAGGAAGAATATGGAACAGGCCAACTCAGACCTCCATTTGCTTGGCCACAAACAGCCTCATCTGGTAATTCCAAAATCTTTCCAGGCCAGTTTAGAATCATAATTCCACCGGTGTGATCGGCATGTGCTCCAGCACCGTCCACAAGGATGTGCCTGTTATATATGTGTTATGGTGCATTTGCAGAAGATGACCACCTCCATCTCTCAATGTGAAGGAGCATCAGTATCTTAGTACATCAAGCAGTCCTGCGGGGAAAGCTAATTTTAGCCATTTGCAACAGCAATCTCATACTTTCCTCCATAAGGACTGGGATAAAAACTCCACTCACTCCCCCCCCCCCCCCCCCCCTCTCCTCAAAGTATGGATGGCAGGTACATTGTCTGCAAAACTGCAATCACAGATACAATGATCCTTTAATAGAATATCGGTTATTATTACATGTACAGCGTATGTTGCTGATGGCAAGAGCTCCATTCCCTGGCATCTTACCTCCACATCCTGAACTGTCCTTGGCTGGGCAATACATAGTTTATTGAGAAGTTGTAGGATGAGTTCTTCTATGTAGTACAAGGAGTCCTCTTTAGCGGACAGTGTGGGGTGGACTTGTTGAAGGACCTGAAATAGAATTACATTTCTATTAAAGTTTCTGTTATGACCAAACTGGAGCCCACAGTCATTTTTTTTTCCTAGTGTGATTCATTCTGATACTTTTGATTATTGTATAGAAGGGATGCAGCCAGAGAAAATGACCTGCAAATATTGCAACTGGTACCTGACTTCTGCTGTCAATCAAAATGTTTCTGGACACCTTAACCCCTTTACGGCCACCTAACAGCTATGTGCAGTGGCAAAAGGGTGGACTTTAATGTCCATGCTCTGCACATATGTGTCGCTGAGCGGCTAATGCTTCTGTGCGGAGAGTGTGCCCACTGCACGCTGAGAGCGTGCCCACTGCACACTCCGAGCACAGAGGCTGAACTGTGAAAATTCAGTTCTTGGTCCCCGCTACAATGCAGCGTCTGCTGTGCAGTGCGGTCTGGCCAGATCAGCGCAGTGCTGATGCACCAATCTTGCCATCGCACTGTTCACTTTTGTTTCTAAACATACAGTATCTCACAGAAGTGAGTCCCACCCCTCACATTTTTGTAAATATTTTATTCTATCTTTTCATGTGACAACACTGAAGAAATGACACTTTGCTACAATGTGATGTAGTGAGTGTACAGCTTGTATAACATGTAAATTTGCTGTCCTCTCAAAATAACTCAACACACCGCCATTAATGTCTAAACTGCTAGCAACAAAAGTGAGTCCACCCCTAAGTGACAAGGTCCAAATTGGGCCCAATTAGCCATTTTCCCTCCCCGATGTCATGTGACTCGTTAGTGATACAAGGTGTCAGGTGTGAATGGGGAGCAGGTTTGTTAAATTTGGTGTTATCGCTCTCACTCTCTCATACTGGTCACTGGAAGTTCAACATGGCACCTCATGGCAAAGAACTCTCTGAGGATCTGGAAAAAAGAATTGTTGCTCTACATAAAGATGGCCTAGGCTATAAGATGATTGCCAAGACCCTGAAACTGAGCTGCAGCACGGTGGCCAAGACCATACAGCGGTTTAACAGCACAGGTTCCACTCAGAACAGGCCTCGCCATGGTCAACCAAAGAAGTTGAGTGCACGTGCTCAGCGTCATATCCAGAGGTTGTCTTTGGGAAATAGACGTATGAGTGCTGCCAGCATTGCTGCAGAGGCTGAAGGGGTGGGGGGGGGTCAGCCTGTCAGTGTTCAGACCATACACCGCACACTGCATCAAATTGGTCTGCATGGCTGTCGTCCCAGAAGGAAGCCTCTTCTAAAGATGATGCACAAGAAAGCCTGCAGTTTGCTGAAGACAAGCAGACTAAGGACATGGATTACTGGAACCATGTCCAGTGGTCTGATGACACCAATATACTCTGATTTGGTTCAGATGGTGTCAAGCGTGTGTGGCGGCAACCAGGTGAGGAGTACAAAGACAAGTGTGTCTTGCCTACAGTCAAGAATGGTGGTGGAAATGTTATGGTCTGGGGCTGCATGAGTGCTGCCAGCACTGGGGGGCTACAGTTCATTGAGGGAACCATGAATGCCAACATGTACTGTGACATACTAAAGCAGAGCATGATCCCCTCCCTTCAGAGACTGGGCTGCTGGGCAGTATTCCAACATAACGATCCCAAACACACCTCCAAGATGACCACTGCCTTGCTAAAGAAGCTGAGGGTAAAGGTGATGGACTGGCCAAGCATGTCTCCAGACCTAAACCCTGTTAAGCATCTGTGGGGCGTCCTCAATGGAAGGCGGAGGAGCGCAAGGTCTCTAACATCCACCAGCTCCGTGATATCGTCATGGAGGAGTGGAAGAGGACTCCAGTGGCAACCTGTGAGGCTCTGGTGAACTCCACACCCAATAGGGTTAAGGCAGTGCTGGAAAATAATGGCGGCCACACAAAATATTGACACTTTGGGCCCAATTTGGACATTTTCACTTATGGGTGTCCCCTTTTTAGATGCCAGTGGTTTAGACATTAATGGCTGTGTGTTGATCACCACCATTATTGGTATAGTGTCTATAGCTGCGTAAATTCCAGTATACTGTATATACCCAAGTTTGTAGAGTCTATAACTTTCACACAAACCAATTCATACATCTTTTTAGTTTTTTGTTTTTGTACCAAAGACATGTAGCAGAATACATTTTGGCCTAAATTTATGAAAAATATGACTTTATTGAATAATGTTTTATAACAACAGAGTAGAAAACGTGTTTTTGTTTTTTTGTTTTTTTTTCAAAACTTGTCTTTTTTTGTTTATATAATAAAAAATCCAGTGGTGACCAAAAATACCACCAAGAAAAAAAAAAAAAAAAAAAAAAAGAAACCGTTTGGTTTTTTTTTTCAAAACTTGTCGTTTTTCATTTATATAATAAAAAAACCCAGTGGTGACCAAAAATACCACCAAGAAAAAAAAAGTTTTATTTGTGTGAAAAAAATTATATAAATTTAATTTGGGAACAGGGTTGCATGACTGAGCAATTGGCAGTTAAATAGTTGCCGACCACAGATAGCCGAATGACGGCTACACTGCGGCCGGCCAGTTCTGGGTGGACGTCATACGACGTCCTCCCAGAACGCACTCTCCTGCGCGCCCCAGGGGCGCGCACCCGGCGATCTCCGTGATCGCTGTGTCCTACAGACACAGCTGATCACGTGATGTGGTAAAAGGCCAATCACAGCGGCCTGACACGCTGATCACAGGGAAATGCAATTGCCGGTTCTCGGCTGCATTTTCCTCACGCTGTCAGATCGTGAGGAAAGTACTGCCGAGAACCGGCAGTTGTCAGAGCGGGGATTGGCACCGATCATCAGGGCACTGATGATCAATGCCCTGATGATCGGTGCCCAGTAGTGCCACCCACAAGTTTCGCCCACCTGTGCCCAGCAGTGCGCCCACTAGCTCCGCCCACCTGTGCCCAGCAGATGCACCCACCTGTGCCCAGCAATGCACCCACCTGTGCCCAGCAATGCACCCACCTGTGCCACTCTGCAGTGTCACACACCTGTGCCCAGAAATGCCACCTACCTGTGCCCAGCAGTGCCACCCACCTGTGCCACCCACCTGTGCCCACCAGTGCCACCCACCTGTGCCCACCCCCCAGTGCTGCCCACCAGTGCTGCCAGTCAGTGCCACCAGTCAGTGCCCAGCGGTTGTGCCAGTCAGTGCCGCCAGTCAGTGCCCAGCAGTGATGCCAGTCAGTGCCGTCTACCAGTACCCATCATCAGTGTCACCTATCAGTGTCACCCTATCAGTGCTGCATATTAGTGCCACCTATCCGTGACACCTCATTAGTGCTGCCTATCAGTGCCGCCTATCCGTGCCACCTCATTAGTACTGCCTATCAGTGCCCTTTAGTGCTGCCTATCAGTGCCCATCAGTGCCGCCTATCAGTGCCCTCATGTTGCATCAACGCACATCAGTGAAGGAGAAAAATTACCTGTTTGAAAAATTTTATAATAGAAACAAAGAAACTTTTTTTTTTTCAAATTTTTTGCACTTTTTTTGTTTATAGCGCAAAAAGTAAAGCGCCCAGTGGCGATTAAATACCACCAAAAGAAAGCTCTATTTATGAGAAAAAAATGATCAAAATTTCATATGGGTACAGTGTTGCATGACCGCGCAATTGTCAATCAAAGTGCGGCAGCGCTGAAAGCTGAAAATTGGCCTGGTAAATAAGGGGGTATAAGTGCCTGGTAGGCGAGGGGTTAAAGTAGAGCAGTGCTAAATAACAAAGAAAAAAAAAGGCCCTGGTCGTGAAGGAGGTAAAATCTTCCAGAGCCCAAGTGGTTAAAAGAAGATTCCTAGTTGATTATGGTCTGAATCACAATAAAACTCTGTGCTCAGGAGTTCTGTTGAATAAAAAAAAAAAAAAAAAAAAATTAATAAAAATGTGTTTTTTTTTTTCTTTTTTTAAACGACTTCCTTTCCCTGAAGCACACATGTGCGTTGAAGATGTGAAACACTCCATGATTACTGCAGCTTTAAAGTGTTTATTATGACAAAACAATGTCAATAAACAAGAACAATTCCCTCTTCACATCGCCTTTGTTTTTTTTTCCACACTCCTACTTGCTGTCAGCTCATCTTGAATTTTTTTTTTTTTTTCCCTGTTGCATGTGCTGTGCTCATGCCGATCGTTCGTCATCGCACTAATTCAACACATATTTTCAGTTTATCTTTGAAACGGCAATGTCCTTCGGAAATATGCGCAGCCGTCTTATCAGTTTTTCCTGCGTTGTTCATAAGCCTGGAACATCTGGTATGGTGATGATACATTAAAAAAAATTAATTAAAATTAAAAAAAAAAAAAAAGAAAGTGTGAGAAAAACAGCGTCTAAAGCCCATTTTTTTTTTTTATTAGGGTCGTCAGCGAATTAAAAGGTGGACGAACCTGCGCAGCCCTGTCACCCGTCCTACAGGAAGGCCAATAAAAGATTCCCAGTGGCTGACTTTGTGGAGGGGAACTTCCTCGCCACGGGCTGCTGCCTGTAGGGAACATAAAACTCGTCTTGCCAAGCGAACTCGTTCGGCGCAGGCCTTGCAAGACGGCCGGCCTTGTTGCCCGAGGCTTTGATAAGAAGTGTTTAAAAAGGGACAAATCGATGAAGAGGAGGACTTGATTAACAAGCCAAACCAGTATCTGGCTGCATGCTCGCCAGAACAAGGTGTGTCCAGTACGTGAGAATGTCAAGACTCGCCAACTTCTAACCAAGACACATTCTTTAAAGGCAAATGATCGAATATTTTCAGTGTCTGAGTCATCGTGGGACCGTTTACCTGAGAGACATCTAACTTGTGACTTGCACAATCTTTATGCCCATCCTGCTTCAGATTTTACTGAAAAAAATGTGAAAGGTGAGGATGACTTAAAAGCAGAGCTCCAGGTCCCCCCCCATCATAACCCTCTAAATTCTAGCTTGTTCTTTTGAAAAACAACAGACATACTGGTCAGATCCCCAGGTGAAAACACAGTGGCTGAATGGTTAGCACTTCAGCCTGGCAATACTCGGCAGGGGCGGACTGACCATTTGGGAACTCGGGGCCCAGTGTAAGAAGGGGGCCCCATGAGATGCCCCTGGTACCTTTTGTAGGCTTTTTTTGGTGTGGTTTGAGTGTGGGCAAGGACACAGGGGCCCCATGATCCCCTATTGCCAGGGGGCCCCATGAGTTGTCAGTCCGCCCCTGGTACTCAGGGCGTTGGTTCGAATCCCAGCCATGGCACCACCTGCCTGGAGTTTGCATGTTCTCCCTGTGCCTGCATGGGTTTCCTCCCACACTCCAAAGACATGCTGATAGGTTAATCGGATCCTGTCTAAATTGTCCCTAGTATGTGTATGTATGAATGTGAGTTAGGGACCTTAGATTGTACATCCCTTGAGGGTTAGGGACCTTAGATTGTACACCCCTTGAGGGTTAGGGACCTTAGATTGTACACCCCTTGAGGGTTAGGGACCTTAGATTGTACGCCCCTTGAGGGTTAGGGACCTTAGATTGTATGCCCCTTGAGGGTTAGGGACCTTAGATTGTATGCCCCTTGAGGGTTAGGGACCTTAGATTGTACGCCCCTTGAGGGTTAGGGACCTTAGATTGTACGCCCCTTGAGGGTTAGGGACCTTAGATTGTATGCCCCTTGAGGGTTAGGGACCTTAGATTGTACGCCCTTGAGGGTTAGGGACCTTAGATTGTACGCCCCTTGAGGGTTAGGGACCTTAGATTGTACGCCCCTTGAGGGTTAGGGACCTTAGATTGTACACCCCTTGAGGGTTAGGGACCTAAGATTGTACGCCCCTTGAGAGTTAGGGACCTTAGATTGTACACCCCTTGAGGGTTAGGGACCTTAGATTGTACACCCCTTGAGGGTTAGGGACCTTAGATTGTACGCCCTTGAGGGTTAGGGACCTTAGATTGTACGCCCCTTGAGGGTTAGGGACCTTGAGGGTTAGGGACCCTTAGATTGTACACCCCTTGAGGGTTAGGGACCTAAGATGGTACGCCCCTTGAGAGTTAGGGACCTTAGATTGTACACCCCTTGAGGGTTAGGGACCTTAGATTGTACACCCCTTGAGGGTTAGGGACCTTAGATTGTATGCCCCTTGAGGGGTAGGGACCTTAGATTGTATGCCCCTTGAGGGTTAGGGACCTTAGATTGTATGCCCCTTGAGGGTTAGGGACCTTAGATTGTACGCCCCTTGAGGGTTAGGGACCTTAGATTGTACGCCCCTTGAGGGTTAGGGACCTTAGATTGTATGCCCCTTGAGGGTTAGGGACCTTAGATTGTACGCCCTTGAGGGTTAGGGACCTTAGATTGTACGCCCCTTGAGGGTTAGGGACCTTAGATTGTACGCCCCTTGAGGGTTAGGGACCTTAGATTGTACACCCCTTGAGGGTTAGGGACCTAAGATTGTACGCCCCTTGAGGTTAGGGACCTTAGATTGTACACCCCTTGAGGGTTAGGGACCTTAGATTGTACACCCCTTGAGGGTTAGGGACCTTAGATTGTACACCCCTTGAGGGTTAGGGACCTTAGATTGTACACCCCTTGAGGGTTAGGGACCTTAGATTGTACCCCCTTGAGGGTTAGGGACCTTAGATTGTACGCCCCTTGAGGGTTCGGGACCTTAGATTGTACGCCCCTTGAGGGTTAGGGACCTTAGATTTGTACACCCCTTGAGGGTTAGGCACCTTAGATTGGACGCCCCTTGAGGGTTAGGGACTGATGTGAATGTACAATATATATGTAAAGCGCTGCGTAAATTTACGGCGCTATATAAGTACCTGAAATAAATAATAAAAGAAATAAACCTAAAAAAAAAAAAAAAACTAATGCAGCCACCACATCTAAGAATTGGCAAGCTGCACTGTAATAAAGGTTTGATTTTGGGTTTAATACCACTTTAATTCCCATCTTGTGAGCAACATATACTAACATTTGCTTCCCTCCCCCGCTGCTATACCAGAGAGAGAGAAAGCCCTGTGAGGGCTCATTCAGATGTTTGGCCAGGAGGTGGTAAAAGCAGATGGCTGAGCCACAGTTAACTGTTCCGACCGCCCACCTAAACATGTTGCCACTCTCGGCTGTACGCCTTTGGAGGTTGGGGCAAGAATTACGTTTAAGTGGATGGGGCAGCATCGCACAGCATGCAATGGACACGGTTGAAGTGAGATGGGTTGGAATTTTCAAGGTTAAAAACAGATGGTGAAGAGGCAACCATCCCCTCCTCGCAGCCTGACAAAAGTTCTATGAAAAGTGATCCATTGCAGATCACTTTCAGAGGTAGGTCAAGGGCCACTGCACATCAGAACGAGCCCTAAATAAGTTTAGTCTGAGTTTACCCCTCACATGACAGCACTGGGCCAATCACCAAGCACCATTTCTGTCATGCAAGAAGTGAGACACGTGTTAGGACATGGCTTGGTCCTGACAGATAAACAGAGTAGAAAAAGCAAAGTCTGCATTGCTTTAAAGGGTTAGTTCACCTTCACAGAAAAATTATAAAAGATGAACTGACACTGGCCACCCTCCCCATCCCAGCGATCTGTGGATTTTCAACCCCCCGCTCTTCTCCTGCAGTGCTTCCGACATGGACCAGATTGATTCTGATTGGTCAGCACAGTCACATCGGCAGCGCTGACTAATCAGAAACCTTCTGGTCCATCCTGGATAAGCTGATGGAGAAGAGCGGAGATTTCAAATCCCCAGACCACTGGAGTGACTGTAGGGATGTTAATAGCTTGGAAACCCCAGAGGTAAGTACAGCATGACCGGGAAGTGAAGATGGTGACCGTTGATTGATCTTTCCATTTTACTTGTAAAGGTGAACACTGGAAAGGACAGCTTTACTTTTATCACTTCCCTCAGGCAGGAACATGGACTCCCCAAGCAGGGCATTATGTCTAGAGATTAGCTTGATTATCTTTACATAGTTAGTCTGGCTGAAAAAAAGATCATAAAGTTCAAACATTAAAAAAAAAAAAAAAAAAAAAAAGGTATAATTTCACACCCACAGTTGATCCAGAGGAAGGCAAAAAAAAACAGCAAAACATGATCCAATTTGCTCCTGCTGGGAAATAATTCCTTCCTGATCCCCCGAGAGGTAATCGGATATTCCCTGGATCAACTTTCCCTATAAATGTTATATCCAGTTATATTCTGTGTATCTAAGAAAGAATCCAGGACTTTTTTAAAGCAATCAACTCAGCTGGCCAGAACCAACTCTTGAGGGAGTCTATTCCACATTTTCACAGCTCTCACT